TCAAACCCATTATGTTGCCTCTAAGTCGTAATGTATTCTCAAAACCCAGGACGTTTCCTCTAAGCCGCAATGCATTCTCAAAACTCAACACATTGCCTCTAAGCCGCCATGTACTCACAAACTCAACACATTGCCTCTAAGCCGCAATGTATTATCCAACTCAAACACATTGCCTCTAAGCCGCAATATATTTGCAAAATTCAGAACATTGCCTTTAAGCCGCAATGTATCCTCAAACTCAACATATTGCCTCTAAGCCACAATGCACTCGCAAAACTCTTTACGCTGCCTCTAAGCCGTAACGCATTATCAAAACCCATTACATTGCCTCTAAGCCGCAATGTATTATACGAACTCACTACGTTGCCTCTAAGCCGCAACATATTCTCACAACTTATTACATTGCCTCTAAGCCGCAACGTTTTCACAAAACCTAGCTTATCACATCAGACTTCACGTAGTGATTTGCAAACCTAACCCATTGCCTCATACTTCATGCAACAATGTGTTGCAAACTCCAGATCATTGCCTCAGACTTCATGCAGCGATGATCAAAACAAATTTAGCTTATCACATCAGACTTCACGCAGTGATTTGCGAATTTAACCCATTGCCTCATACTTCATACAGCAGTGTGTTTCTTATTAAGTGACACAAATCATTTCCTCAGACTTCATGCAGCAATGTATTCCAAACTCCAGACCCTCGTCTCAGACTTCATGCAGCGATGTTCAAAACAACAAATTTAGCTTATCACATCAGACTTCATGCGGTAATGTCCGAAGACCAAATCTAGCTTCACGCAGCGATTTGCAAAACTGTAACCCATTACATCATACTTCATGCAGCAATACATTTCGTTATTCCATAAACACTGATCATCTCCTCAGACTTCATGTCGCGATGCTCAAAATAAAAACACCCTAACCTAGTTCATGCATAAATACGTTTCATTATTCCATAGCACGGATCATCGCCTCAGACTTCATGCAGCGATGCTCGAAAGAAAACAAAACTTTAACTCATTACCTCAGACTTCATGCAGCAATGCGTTTCTTTATTTCATAAACACTGATTATCGCCTCAGACTTCACGCAGTGATGCTCCGAAATACAAGGATTATCCTATCGCATCAAACGTCATGCAGCGATTCCCAAACACAACCCATGGCCTCAGTCTTTAAGCAGCCATGCGTCATCAATCATTGCTATACTCATCCTCCAAATGGGTGAATAAGCCAAGACATACAAAATTGGGCTCTTAAGTTCAAAAACATCTTCCTCGTGATCAAACAACCCTGGTAAGCGATACATCATCGACTTTTCCTACCTTCTTAAGACTCTTAAGGGTATGTTATATCAGTGTAACCTTATGTTTGTCGGACAAATTTTGGAATACTTCAAGTATTCAATAAACTTCCAATCGGAATGCACAAGACTCGAGTTTTCTCACGCTATTCGACTGGAATATAATTAAATAAGGGCAACTGTCGTACCCCAAATTTGTCCTACCTTGATGATTTTATTTTTTTCGGGATTAAAATAGAAGAAATATTTAATTAAGGATAGTATAGCAGTATCGGATGGCCCATTCTTAAATCCAAGACAATCAGGGGGTGTATTTTAATTCAGGGGAATGAGGCTTTCTAAATCTGAAAGACTCATATACCCATAATCCCATTCGCGAAGCATGTTGGCCAATGACCCATGAGATTTGAATGTGGATAATCATTTCAAGAGAATAATAATAATTAAACTCTTGTAGTAAAACCCATTTAAGTATTATTGTTGTTAAGTAAAGAAGAGGGGTGAAATTAGAATTTTAGGCCCATTCGTATGGCCCATTTCTGTTGGTAATTGAATAAGCAAAGGGACGGGTATAATTATAAACACATGCCCACCGAGTTTTGGGCCCATTGGACGGTCATTACCGTTTATTCTTAGAAAAATGTTGTCATTTTGCTGATTAAAAGATTTAACATCTTATTAATATTTTCAAAGGAAAAGAGTCGTCTTAGGAAATTTTTGGACTAGAGTGTTAAGGCCATAATGGGCCGGTGGCGTAAGAAATCTTTTTTTCTGCTATAATAAAAAATAATATTGATGATTGGGCTAAGTGGGGTAGAATCAGTTGTTGGCCCAATTGATTTTTTTTTTAAAAATGTAATTTGTTTGTTGTAAATAAGAAAGGGAAGTGCAAGCCCAATTAAGCAAAAAAAGGAACAGTCACTGTATCCATTCACCAAAATTAATGCGTGTTTTTCTTAATGAACATATATTGTTCAAATTAAATCAAAACCAATATCCAAAATCAAATAGTTTATCTCCAGAATATCCAATACAATGAATAAGACAGTTTTAAACAAAATCAAATTCAATATATTACATTATCCAACTAAAACAAATCTAGAACAGAAATAATTAACACATCTAAATCTCAAGATTAAATTTCAAATCACAAAATCAGTGATTACAGAACCCTAATCCCTAATTACAGAATAACCAAATCTGGAAATTAAATTATAAATCACAAATAAATCAATTACAGCAGATTCTAAATCCTAAATCATGCCAATTGTAACAACCCTAAAATAAACCTAACTGTATAAATACAGAGATAAAGAGTACAGAAAAGGGGGCGCGAATTTTTTACAGAAACGGAGGAGGCCGGGAATACAGAAACAGAAGGGATTTTTACAAGAACAGATCGGAGCTTGATACGGAGAAGGCGGAGAGATACAGAGGAGGAGAGAACCCAAGTCGTCGTACCGATTGGGGTTTCGATCTCTGAAACCCTAATCGATCTTGTCGCTGTCCGCCACCGCTACTTCGCTTGTCGTCACCACCCTCATCGGAGCCTGCGAATAATAAGAAGAAGGGTTAGCATTAAAATACAGAAGCTCAAAGTCAGAAAGGACATAATCGCAAGGGGGTAAAAACACTTGGCTTTTTTTGTTGTTGTTCTAGTATTGGGGTGCTGAGTTTTTGATTTACGGTAAGGAAGAAGGAGATTAGTAGAGCGTCGTCGTGGGGGGTTTGGATGCAAGGCTTTGTGAAGAGGAAGATAAAGGGTTTTGAGGGTTCTACGTGAGAGAGAGAGAGAGAGAGAGAGAGAGAGAGAGAGAGAGAGAGAGAGAGAGAGAGAGAGAGAGAGAGAGAGAGAGAGAGAGAGAGAGGAACAAGGTGATTGAAAATGAAAATTAAAAAAATGAAAATAACAATTATATTTCTGTTTCGATCCCATACGCGTGTGTCCGTGATAGTTATCATGCACTCTTTAATCATGTTCGTATGATTTTGATTGGACGGTCGTAAAGCCAAGTCCACCGTATGCCCTTACTCCCTTGCAACACACAAACCCCTCAGCCCTCTTTCAAAAACGTGTTGGGCCTAAACCCAGTACTTTCTACAATCCTCCTTTGCCCATATTTCTAAACACAACAACAATGTACACCCCCCTGCCTGAACTATTCTGGGTCAGCCTGAGCCTAACTTCCAACACCCCTCTTTTTACTGGTTGATTGAAAATGACACCCCCATATTTACTTAATATTTTTATTATTTTTTATTATTTCTTTTATATTATTTTTTATTCTTATTATCATTATTAATTATTTATTTTCTTTTTATTTATAATTGTTAATATTAATTTTTATTATCATATTTTATTTATTATTATTATTATTATTATTATTATTATTTATTATACATAGATATTATAATATTAGCAAATAACTTATTTTTATTCCCAAATTCATGTATTATTTTCTACACATTTGCATTAAATCTTTTTTTCAATCATGCATTAATCAAGATCTTCGCAAATAATACAATTAAAAATTACTCAACAAATCTCAAAACTATTTTCGCAATAAACTAAACTAATCAACAGTCTTTTTGCAAATGAGTTTCAAACTAGTTTTAACTTACTGCGCACTCAGTCAAAATCTTCGCAATCACTACTCTCGACCGAGTGCGAAGTGATTCACAATATATTTGCAAACCCCTAAAAAACACCAACCCATACGAACTACGAATTGGGACTCAGATTCTTCATAGGAGGATACGTAGACATACGATCTAAAATCGTGGCGAGTCTTTCTAATTAAAACTTAAAACCCTGTTTACCCCCAAACCTAAACCTAGAGGCTAATATCCTTGTGAACAAAGTAGATGAAAGGTGCCTAACACCTTCCTTTAGTCTAATTGAGTCTGAAACCTAGAATCTTTGTCTGCGAATTAGAGTTTTCTATTAGATGTCCTTCCCCAGGATAAAAACTAATAGTGGCGACTCTGGTTTTAAATCCAGTCGCAACACGTAGTAGCAAAAACTTAAGGGACAAATGTTCCAGAACAGTCAAAGGCCAAATAAAACAAGCTCAATTATAAAGACCTAACCTAAAGCATCGCCATAAAAGTTCAACGAATAGGTGAAATTTCGCTAGAGAGTCAGACACCTGATCCGAGTTACTGATACATCAACCACCGTCAAATCTGATCAAACGGCTCCCTGTGACACACGTCGGATCAAGTAGGGACAATTTTAACCGTTATTGTGTACAAGTTCTACCACATGCCATAACAGTTGTTTTCATATTCACTCTTGCAAGTTACTTTACTATTACCTCACCCCGCAAGATTGTACCAGAGATTCTTGTTATCATACCATAAAGACTTTCTCCCTTCATTTGATCAATTTCCGCTCTCTTACGAGAGTAGATTCAACTTTGACTTCTGGTCTGAGGAGTTATCAAACTTTCATTATGTACCATTTTTAAAAAGGTTGTAATTTGAAGTATAGCTCACTATGTTATTGAATTGATGAATGGGCAGGGAAGAATGTGGTTGCAATCCTGTGCAGTATTTTTGCATCATATCAATGCAAAGATCTGGGAGTGGATGGTTTGAGGCACTTTTGAATAGTCACATTAATATAAGTTCCAATGGGGAGATATTTTCTAACACAAAAGAAGGGGAAGTGTTTCATCAATTTTAAAGACAATGGACATGGTGTATAATCTTGACTACATTACAAGTGCTTCCAAGAATCAGTGCAATGCAGCTGTAGGCTTCAAGTGGATGCTTAATCAAGTAGGTTGGTACCACTCTTTTCATTGAGCATAGTTCAATTCACCATTTAAAAATGCTTAATCATACAGTCTTATATAAGATGCTAAAAGAAGAAATTGTCATAGGGTTTGATGGCCCATCATGAGGAGATAGTGGAATTCCAAAGAAAAGGAGTTTCTGTAATATTCCTATTAAGAAGGAATTTCCTACGTAGGATAGTGTCTTTGTTAGCAAATTCCTATGACAAATATGCCAAGCAACTCAATGGAACCCACAAATCTCATGTCCCATCCACAACAGAGGTCTCTTTCTAGTCTTTAATTCCTCTATTACTCAAAAATCAAGTAAAGATTAACCTGTGCTAATTAATCTTATGTTGACTCGAAAAGTGAAACTAGAGCTAACTTAATTGGTTTCATCCTATTGCAGGCTGAAGTTCTTGCCAAATACAAACCATGGATCAAGACCACATCACTAATGGCAGAGCTAAAGCAAACAGAGGAGACAGACGCAAAAGCCATTGAATACTTTAACAACACTCGCCACATTATTCTCTACTACGAGGATCTTCTCAAAAATCGCACGGTAATTACAATCTATATCATACTCGCAAGATAGTCATCGCATATTATGAAAAAAGTTCGATATGATTAGCTGTTGATCTACTTTTCAATTTTCATTTTCAGAAACTCAATGATGTTCAAGAATTTCTGAGATTGCCATATAGAGATCTGCAAAGTGTTCAAGTTAAGATTCACATTAAGCCATTGTCTAAGCAAATTGAAAACTGGAAAGAAGTAAAAGATACACTAAAAGGGACCCCATACCAGAGTTTTCTCCTCTCAAACTAATAAAAGAGTTTGAGACAACTGCTTATTCACACAAATTAACAGTAAATGATTCTATTTCTTAGACCACCAACAAGACTTTTTTGTAAGCACTTGAAAGATACATCAAAAGTATGAGATTAACATCATTTCTTTTATTGAAAAATACAATCTTTGTTCTGGAATCCCTTGAGTGAATCAAAAGATTAAAGTATTAACCCTAACAAGTAAACTCAAAATACAATCAAATCTAGTTTCAAACATAACCCCTACCGATTTGAAGCGGGACAAGATCAATCTAACTTCTAGCACGTGTATTTATACTACTAAGTGTTACAAGATTTTCTTTACAAAATTACAATCTATAATGAAGATATTTTTACTAAAAATTAGAGAAAGGAAGAGTGAAGGCTCATATCCATCCCTAAATCCGTAAGGTCTTATGCTAAGAGATTGGTCACCATCTCACTTTGCAAAAAGATAGTAGAGAGCAACAGAGATGTGGAAAGTTTGTTCTACTTTTCATTTCTTCAATCTCTTCCTAAATAATGTTACAAATGGGACAAGCAAATCAATAAATCATTGATCTACTGGCCCTTTAGAATCGGTATCATCGCATTCATTTTTATCTTCAGTTCGGTCAATAGTAAAATGATCGACAATTTTGACTGTATGTACTGGATCCTGGTGGGAAACGGCTGCCCTCCATTTGCTTGGAAAGCGTCTCAAATGGCTCGAAATTTGTGGATTCTTTGTCTCTCCATCCCAATCAGAATCAAGCTTCCACTCCTTAGGAACCTGCAAATGGAAAGAGAAAAAAAACTGAACCAATTCTATACCTCACTTTATATAAAATAAGAGAATACTCCAGTAAATAATAGCTTCTTACCTTATCAACTGCGAGAGTATAAACTTCAAGATTGCCATCAGAATTGATGTGAAATCGTGTGAATGATTTGTAATTAGCTATTCTGAGAGAGGAGAAGGCTTCGTCAAAGTGCAAATGGAGCCAGTTAATGCAAATATATAAGTAGCTTCCAAACACTAATGAAACAACCGGAGTAGAGAAAACCCAAAAGTAAAGGAAGACGGAAGCATAATAGATTACGGCACCCCCTCGGGAAATAGAGTCTAATCCATTTTTGCAAATAGTGTTTCGAGAGACAGCCATGACCTGAGAAAATAATCTTCATGATACTATCCATTTTAAGAACAATCAGAACAGTAAAAGTCCAAAGATTTTTCATACCTCTGGTACATCAAAAGCGGACATTAAATACTTGATACATGCTGGATAAAGACCAAATGTCCATTGTTCAATACGAGCTCTGAGGCCAGTTGGATCCGGAAAATGTTCACTTTCCACCGATTGATACCATTGATATAACGAGTGATAACCTGGATCATACAAACAAAAAATCATCATGATAACCCATATTGGTTACAAGACAACAGACAATACTAATTTACAAAGTATAAAACTCCGAAGTACAGGATCACCGTAGATTAGCAAGCAGTACAGAACACGACACTGACACTTGTAGTAATTTGAGAATATAGACTAACTGAATGTAACCGTGTGTGTTGGTGTCAGACACCGGACACGCCTTCAATATAAAGTGTCAGAGCTATATAGGTTCTTATACTACTACTACTACCAAACACCTTAAAGTTTACAAAGTTTGGTGGAGGCAGTTAAGTAATCTTCTCAGTTTGGTGCTGGTGTGACTCTATTATTTGTAATAAACAATGTCTGACATTTTTTTTCTGGACATTTGGAAATATGAAAAGTTAGAATACTATGGACACACGGATTACACAAATTTGTAGCAATACAGTAGTTATACAAGTCATTCAACAGGAACGAAAATAAAACCTGAATTTGCCAGCAATTTATGCCGGATGCATATTTCAATGCCTATTTCAAGAAGTAACATAAGAATCAGAGCTGCGGCAAGATGAGCAGCAACATGAAGAACTCCAATCATTAATCGTTTCTTCCGTGACAACTTTGGCGGAACAAAAGAATATGCTGAAATTAGTAATACTAAAGCTCCCACAAATGACACACAAGAGTTTTGTAGGATATATATAAATCCGTTCCACACAGTACCAAGGAAACTGCTTAATTGATTTGAGAATGTATCATCTTGGAGAATGTGATTCAACTCACACTACAAATTAAGAAAAAGAAGACAGTTGGGTATTAGTGATAAAGGAAACTATTTATATGTGCTTACTTTGAGCCAAAAGGAAACCACTGGCTAAATCATCATCAAGAACATACAACTAGTCAACCACTGGCTAAATTATCATCAAATAAATGGAGGAACTCACTTGAGGAAACATTGAAAATACTAGGACAAAATATATGATGCCGCCGATAAAATCAAATTGCCAGTTCTTCTTCCGAAATTTAAGGATATTTCCCAGTGCAATCTGCGTTAAATTAAAAATAATGTTATAATCCCGTAAGCAGTAACTTGTATAAAAACCAAACATTTAGTGCTTACAGTTAAGGGACTAGAGTAAGAAACTGTTAACATTTTCTACATACCCTGCTTGAATCTTCAAAGGAAGGATATGCAGCTTTGCATTCATAGGAAACTCCATCAAATTTACTAAATTTACTGAAAACATGGGTAGGATGTAAAAATGCTCCACCACAACCATTTACAAGAAGATGGTGGACATGGACAGGCCCGTCTGACTTTACATGCGAATGACGCATGTAGTGATGCAAGTCCCCAGCCATCCTTAGCTTACATCTTCCTTTCAAATAATCACAAATCAGATGTGAAATGTTCTTCCCAGTAACATCGCTCCAATACCAGTCAGTAAGCCAATTAGGTTCGTGAGTTATAATGATCACAGAGTCATTCTCTTGCACCTAAGTTGAAAATGGGTCATGAAGGCAGGTGTGCTCAATCAGTGTACATGTCAAAAAATGAGGCATGAAGATGGATAAAGAGAAATTACAAGAATTTGAAAGAAAAAAAATGGAGTAATAAAGCGAAATTACAAGAATTGGAAAATTACAACAAAGTTTTATCTCACTAAGTAGGGTCGGCTATATGGATCAAACTACGTCATAACTTTCTATCAAAAACCATGTTTCTATCCAACTCGATAATCTCGAGATCTTCACTAATAGTTTCTGTCATAGTTTTTCTAGGTCTTTCTCTACTCTCCTTACTACAGAACTCACAATCTTTTCCACCATACCCGAACCACCTAAGCCTATTTTCCACCATCTTTTCTACTATGGGTGCCACCCCAACAATCTAATGTTGTCATTTCTCACCTTAACTTGTATAGTCTTACCACACATCCAACACAATACCCTCATCTCTGCTACACTTATTTTACGTTCGCTTTGGTTCTATACCACCCAATATTCCTTCCTATACAATATTGTCGGTCTTAACACTATCGATTTCATAAACGACGAATAAAATGAGATTTTTCTCACGAATGACTTAAATTGTGGAACCGAGAGTACAACCCAAATGTTTGGGGGAAACTTAAAATAATAGGAACGAAGTAGTCTCCACAAAACTTAATCATATTATGCTATTTTTTTTTTGGCTCATACACAGGCACCGCATTGCTGGGGTGGGTCTAGGAGGCTTAAGCTGAGGGACAAATAGCATTCAATCTTCAGAGATTATGGTAATTAGAGTATTGCCCAATAAATTTCCCCATAATTCCGGTGAGAATACCAGGATATAGCAATACATCAATTTTTCATTTCATATTAAACCAATGGCAACAGTAAAAGAATGACTAATTATAAAAAAGTTTAAAAATATGTATAAGTTAAGTAAAATCACATTAGACACTAGAGACTTGAAGAAGCAAACATTAAATTATACATCATGTAAATATAAAAAGAGAAGAAACAGAAATTATTTTACCTTTTCCATTATCAGCTCAGTAAAGAATTTGAATTGGTACACATCAATATCACCATGAAGAGCAAGATCAAGCCCAAAAATCCACCACCGCTTGGGGAGTTGCAAAGCAAAGTAACTCTTCTTCTGAGGCATGAGCCATCCACCTAACCAACTCCTATGACAGATATACCTCATAAAAGTCTGAAGTCCATCAAACCAGTCTGTGAAGCAACCAATAATAACGATGAATACATATTTCCGTTAAGCGTGGAAACACAACTTTGTAGACTTTTTTAAAATGAGATCAGGTAAAATGACCAAAACAAACATAACATTTAATGAAAAATAAATGAAGCAACTAATAGATACAAACAGAAAACTGTGAAAATTTAATAATCTCCTTAAAAAGTAACACAGTTTGGTGAGGCTCAAACCAAGCTAAAACTAACCATGGTTTCCAGGAATAACGAAGCACTGAGGTCCATCATACTGTCTTAGTTGATCACCAAAGGGCTTATTCACGGCTATCTGCTCAGCTTTATATGAAGGAGGAGGTTGGAGTGCATACTCAAAGGGTACAAACAAACGTCTTTCATATGTAAATGCTGATGGATTGGGATACCTACAACAGTACAAACAAGCCCTTGAATAAAACAAAAATAGCAACAGAACTCTAAAAACAAATAATAGAAAGAAAAGGAGTTAATCTTCGAATGGCACTACAAAGATCTTTTTGGTCAGTTATTATTAGAGTTATATCTTAGAATATGAATAATCAGCACTATAGAATAATTAAGTCCAGCCTTAATTTAATAGAATAAGAAAAGTCTTCCTTAATTGTAGAGCTTGAATGATTCAACTCTTGAATGTTCATCTCCTCTTGTATAAATAGAGCATAATGCTCCTTTCCAATTCAGCAATAACAGAATCTGTTTCTCTCTTTTCTCTTTTAGCTTTTTCTCTCTTCTCTCTCATATCTCACTCTAATATGGTATCATAGAGCTTCGGTTCTATCCATGGCAGCGATTCCAGTAACTACAGCTCCGGCCACCCCAACATCTATGTCCTTCCAACTCAAAATCACAGAAAAACTTGATGAGAAGAATTTCCTACTTTGGCGCCAACAAGTAGATCCTTTCGTTAACGCGAACAATCTTCAAAACTACCTTTACCTTCGTGACATACCGAATCAATACCTGACTGATGAAGATCGTGCCGCTGCTCGTGAGAACCCTGCGTATCGCACCTGGATTACGCAAGATCAGTGGCTTATGACGTGGCTTCAATCCACGCTTTCACCTTCAATTCTTTCACGTGTTCTTGGATGCGTTCATTCCTACGAGCTCTGGGAACGTATTCTTGCGCATTTTCAAAAGCTTACACGTGCGAAAGCAAGACAACTACGAGCGGAACTCAGATCTACAACACTTGAAGACAAATCTGTTGGTGATTATCTGGTTCGCATCAAAGCTCTTGTTGACGCGCTTGCTTCAGTAGGAGATCCAGTTCCAGATCAGCAACACATTGATGTGATTCTTGAAGGTCTTCCTCAAGACTTTGCCTCTGTTATTTCAGTTATTGAAAGCAAGTTTGATTCAGTAGAACTTGAAGAAGTTGAAGCTCTTCTTCTTGCTCATGAGATGAGATACAACAAGTATAAGAAACACTCACAAATGGAAGTGGCTGCCTCAGTGAATCTCACTCAAGCCAATTCTCAACCTGAAACTGATAACTCGAATAACAAGAACAATGAACAAGCTGTGAATTCAACCTTTAATCCAACCTATTCAAGAGGAGGCCGTGCAGCTGGCCGTGGTGGTGGACGCGGCCGTGGGAGAGGTAGGTTCAGCAACATTCAATGTCAAGTTTGCTTCAAATATGGTCATCTTGCTGCTAACTGCTATCATAGGTTCAATCAACAATTTCAACCTAACATACCTGCTGATTTTCAAACAATGAACCTACAAAATTTCTATCCGTATCAACCAATTGGTGGACCTCAGTTTGCTCAGCCCATGGTTAACACTCGGTCACGCCCAAGCTATCAACCAAGACTTGCCCCTCTCCCTGTTCCTCAGTCACATATCACTCCCAATGCTATGATTGCTAACACAACTTCAGTTCCAAGCAGTGCCTGGTTCCCAGACTCAGGAGCTTCTTATCATGTTACCAATGCCTCTCAAAACATACAGCAAACCACACCTTTTGAAGGTCCTGATCAGATCTTCATTGGTAACGGTCAAGGTTTGCACATTCACTCTTCAGGCTCTTCTTATTTTCCTTCTCATTCTAAACCTAACACTCCATTAGCTCTTCATAATTTACTGCTTGTTCCTTCTATTACAAAGAACCTGATAAGTGTCAGCAAATTCTGTCTTGATAATAGAGTTTTCTTTGAGTTTCATGCTGATATGTGCTATGTCAAATCTCAGGCTACCAATGAAATTCTGCTCCAAGGTCGTGTAGGAAGTGATGGCCTGTACCAATTTTCCCATCTTCAGCTTCTTAAGTCTCCTTCAACAAGTCAAGTCTCATGTCTCACCTTAGACTCTAATGCTCATGTTTCAAGATCTGATTCCAGCACTAGTGATAGGGTTTCAGTTTCTAATCAAAATGTATCAGCTAATAACTCATATAATTCTCAACATACTTGGCATTTACGCCTTGGTCATCCAAATTCTAATACTATGAGACTTGTTTTAGCTCAATGTAATATTCCTTATTCTAATAAAGCTGAATCTATCTTTTGTTCTGCCTGCTGTATGGGAAAGGCACATAGGCTGCACTCCCCTCAGTCACAAACTCAATATCACTCTCCTCTTGAATTAATTTTCAGTGACCTATGGGGTCCTGCCCCAGTCAAATCCTCCCAAAACTTTACCTACTACATCACCTTTGTTGATGCATACACCAGATTTACTTGGATCTATTTGCTCAAAAATAAATCTGAAGCCTTAACTATCTTTAAACAATTCAAAGTCATGGCTGAATTACAATTTGGATTTCCTATTAAATCTGTCCAAACTGATTGGGGTGGTGAATTTCGCCCATTTACAAAGTTTCTTTCTGATCTTGGCATTATTCATCGCCTAGTTTGCCCTCACACTCATCACCAAAATGGTGTAGTGGAGAGGAAGCGTAGACACGTTGTTGATCTTGGTTTAACCCTCTTGAGTCATGCCTCTTTACCTCTCAAATTTTGGGACCATGCCTTTTTAACCGCTGTCTACCTAATAAATAGGTTACCAACCATGTCTCTCAATCAACATATACCATATGCTGTCCTTTTCAATCAAAATCCTGACTATAAATTCCTTAAAGTCTTTGGGTGTGCTTGTTTTCCTCTCCTTCGCCCATACAACTCTCAAAAATTTGACTTTAGATCCCACGAGTGCCTTTTTCTAGGGTACTCTACAGCTCACAAAGGTTACAAATGTCTCTCTCCAAGTGGTAGAATATTCATCTCTAAAGATGTTCTTTTCAACGAGTCCAAATTTCCTTACAATGATCTTTTTTCCTCTAATGTTTCTCTCCCCTCATCAACCATTCCATCCTCCTCCTCATCTAAAGTAACCCTTAACACACAAGCTCTCCCTCATGTTTTTCCCGTTCCTACTGCTTCCACTACCTCACACTCCTCTTCTTCTTCTCAATCCAATTCCAGCCCCACACCTATTGTCTCACACTCCTCTTCTTCTTCTCAATCCAATTCCAGCCCCACACCTATTGTCTCACACTCCTCTTCTTCTTCCCAATCCAATTCCAGCCCCACACCTACTGCCTCTGGGTCAGCAACCCCTATAACACAAACAGCCAGCACTAATCCTACTCCTTCACCCTCTTCAAATGCCAACAATCAGCCTACTACTACCACTTCACTATCCTCCTCCTCTATTTATGCTCCTAGGGATCCTAACCTTCAGCCTCTCCCCACCAATACTCATCCTATGACTACTAGAACTAAATCTGGTGTACCCTTACCTCGTCTAAATCCTTCCATTTTTCTTGTCAATTCTGAGCCTAAGAGTGTTAAAACTGCTCTCCAAGATCCTAAGTGGTTTGCTGCTATGCAAGAGGAGTATGGTGCCTTGATAAGGAACAACACTTGGTCTTTGGTACCACTGCCTGCTAACAGGAAAGCAATAGGCTGCAAGTGGGTTTTTCGTGTAAAGGAAAATGCTGATGGGACAGTAAATAAGTACAAAGCTAGGCTTGTTGCTAAGGGGTTCCATCAAGTCCATGGATTTGACTTTAATGAAACTTTCTCCCCTGTTATTAAACCGGTCACAATTAGAATTATTTTGACTCTTGCTCTAACTTACAATTGGCCTTTGCAGCAGTTGGACATAAACAATGCCTTTTTGAATGGCATTCTTGAAGAGGAGGTCTATATGATGCAACCCCCTGGATTTACTGCCCCTAATTCATCTCTGGTTTGTCACTTGCACAAGGCCTTGTATGGCCTAAAACAAGCCCCGAGGCAATGGTTTGAAAGACTCAAAACCACTCTTTTATCCTTTGGCTTTCTAAACAGCAAGTGTGATACTTCACTTTTCATCTACAAGCATCACAATGCTGTCATTTATATGCTGGTTTATGTTGATGATATAATCATCACAGGAAACTCCCCTCCTCTCATCAAGCAAGTTACTCAACAATTAAATCATGTGTTTGCTCTCAAACAACTTGGTGACTTGGATTATTTTTTGGGCCTTGAGGTGAAGAAATTGTCCAATGGAAATCTCCTTCTCACTCAATCTAAGTACCTAAGGGACTTGCTAATCAAAACTGATATGGAGAATTCCAATCCAGTTGCTACTCCTATGGCTTCCTCCACCAAACTCATCAAAACAGGGTCTGCTGCCTTGTCTGATGCCTCCCACTACCGGTCCATTGTAGGGGCCCTGCAGTATGCAACAATTACACGGCCAGAAATCTGCTATGCTGTTAACAAAGTATGTCAATTCATGGCACACCCCTTGGAGTCCCATTGGCTAGCTGTCAAGCGTATTCTGCGCTACCTAAAAGGAACTATCACCTCTGGTTTATTGTTCACTCCAGCCTCCACTGTTCCGTTCTCTCTGCAAGCCTATTGTGATGCTGACTGGGCTGCTGACCCAGATGATAGAAGATCCACCTCTGGGTCAGCTGTGTACTTAGGCCCTAATTTGATCTCTTGGTGGTCCAAAAAGCAAACTGTTGTTGCTCGTTCTAGTGCTGAGGCAGAGTATCGCAGCTTGGCTCACACCACAGCTGAAGTTTTATGGGTTCAAACTTTGCTAGCTGAACTAAAAATTCCCTTGACAACTCCAACCATCTATTGTGACAACCAGAGCACAGTTGCTATGGCTCATAACCCTGTTCTTCATGCAAGAACAAAGCATATGGAAATTGACCTCTTTTTTGTAAGAGAAAAGGTGATTAATAAGTCTCTCACTGTCTGCCACATTCCTGGTGTTGACCAGAAGGCTGACATCCTCACCAAGCCTCTCTCATGTTCAAGATTTATGGAGCTCAGCAGCAAGCTCAACCTGTCTGCCTCAAGTCAGCCTTTGCAGCCACCTTGAGCTTGTGGGGGAGTATTAGAGTTATATCTTAGAATATGAATAATCAGCACTATAGAATAATTAAGTCCAGCCTTAATTTAATAGAATAAGAAAAGTCTTCCTTAATTGTAGAGCTTGAATGATTCAACTCTTGAATGTTCATCTCCTCTTGTATAAATAGAGCATAATGCTCCTTTCCAATTCAGCAATAACAGAATCTGTTTCTCTCTTTTCTCTTTTAGCTTTTTCTCTCTTCTCTCTCATATCTCACTCTAATAGTTATAAAAGCAGTTTGGATGTCTCCTATCATGCTAGCAAATTGCAAATTAATTTTTACATAAAAGCAGTCAGACGCCATGATCCATAATTATAAAAGTTTGATTTGAAATTCACAAATCTGATCACTGTATGATATTCGATAAAAATACTCTCTTCTATATAATAGATCATATATTCCGGAAACAAAATGTTAGATACACACAACTTCTTAAATACTCCCAATTTCCCAAACTCTAGAAAATGCAACTACTCCATGAAAATAATACTTTTTTCTTAACATATACATAATTATTGACTAGAACTTGTTTCCTTTACCTCTCTCCCTGATCTACTTTCTAATAGGGCTTCCATATCCCTTTATAAAAATGTACAAAACTGAGAACATAAAACTCAGAATTTTGTTATTCATGATTTGATTTTAGACCTAGCTATTCAAAATTCAGTATCAAGAACCACAAGTATTAAATGGTTAACTAATCACTCGAGAGAATCTTTCAAGTTTCAATTATAATATAATAATTGATCCAAAAAAAAAAATACAATAGCCACAAAAAGTAAGCAACATACGCAAGGTCACCCCCGATAAGTAGCAGGTTACCACGGGGTAGGGTAACCTGAGCATCATCTTTCATTGTACGAATGGAAGGCTTTGCAAGTAGCCGTGCAACGGCATAAGATGAGTTCCCACCATCACCAGTATCAGCCATAAAGTCAAACCAAAAATCATCTTTCTCACTAAAATGATCAAATAAAAGGTCACGATGCTGCTTTCCATCTTCAGCCCTACTCATTGCTGCCTGGCAATGAAAATAAGAATCAATATACCATCACATACAAGTACGTGACATTCTTGCAACAAAGCAAGCTTCTTTATATCAAAAAATATTTTTTCCTGAATAAAAATAGATTTTAAAAAAATGCCATGCAAGACTCGTTAAAGATTTTATACTAAAATTAACTACACTACAGTCAACATATAAATTTGACGACTAGAAATCACATGGTAAACTGAAATCAGTATAAATATAAAAAAATTGCAAGAAAAAATTTAAATTTAAATTTGACGACTTGGTAAACTGAGTTTTGAAAGCACAAAAATTTGTCTGTGACAAATTCTTGTATGATTCATATACCGGAAATAAGATTAATTGGCAACAATATATGGAAAAAAAAATCCTTTCAACATTATCCTACACCACATTTGGAATAACTATAAACCCCTTGAAAGCAAGCAAGCACTTACGGTCACACCGTAAGCAATTTAATAGACAAAGAATGTAACACAGTAATATAAGCAAATTCAGGCTATAAGTCAAATGGCATATTGACAAAATATTATGAACTATTGCAAGGAAATATAAAAACATTACCTGCATCATTCGCATGTCAAAACGGCCAACGAACACCGTCACTGATACTAGAAGATCAAAAACAGTTTTGAATAAATCAGCAGATGTTCTGCATAATTCATCAAGTGTAACCATACAATCATGATCATCTCCAACACCTCAAAATATAACAAAGTAAGTAATATGGAATTATACACATACCCAGAGTACCAAGGAACCATGTCCAAAAAGTCAGGCTTCATCTGCTTCTTCTTCAACTTCTCAAATTCTTTAACAGAGAGCGGGTGAGCGAGAGCCCAACTGTTGATTTTTAAGACATCAAAAACAAGATATTAAGATAATGAAAAAACAAATTGATATAATGATTAGATTAATGTATTATGAAAATGTGATTTCCCATGGTAATTATTGCCCTCAGTGTATACTACTGTTCCTAGGGCTCATGGTACTGTTGTGCATTGCCTTTTGCAGGGAACTATGGCCAGAAAAACAGTTATGCAAAAACAAAACAACTATAACTAATACACATTTCATTGGGATGACTAGACAATATAACAAGAACACAAGCTCAAGTTAGAAACATCCCAAGAAATTCAGGCGCAAAATTTCATATATTTTCAACAGCAGTCTGCCAAACCAAGAACAAAAACTGGCATATTCTAAAGTTTTCACGTGACTAACTTCTACTTGAATTTAACATCAGAAGGATGTTACAGTACAACTTCAATACTTTGGACCATGTAAAACAAAAAATCATACTAACATGCAGAAATATAGCAATGTTTAGCACATAAAAAATCAACTTAAGGAATTACTCACCCTGTTGACCTTTCAACCACATAGTTTGCAATGTAAAGCCCAATAAACGTAGCCCAAAGTGAGTAGATGGGGGAAATCTCATCTGATGAACCAGGACATGAACCATTGCAGGCTATCTAAAACATTAAAAGAATTCTTGCATCACAACATGTAAAGGACCACTACAGACAAAGATACAAGGTTTAATACACAAGATTGTATAAATTATAAACTTATATTAAGTACCTCTCCGTAAATAACCCACTTTGACAAAAGAGGATAATCACTTGCAGATCCAACTGGAGCAAACCAAGACGAGCAAACCTGGTCCTTCAACTCATTCATCCGAAGAAACTTTGCAAGCCATGTGTTTCTCTCTCCTTTCTTCCAAAAAGGAAACCAGTTTGAACTTTTTTGGTGTTCAAGCGGTTTTTCTCTTAACATGGCACGGTTTCCACAATGACTATAAAATACACAGCATGCTACACTAAGTACCTATTATTTATATAAAGAAAAGGCATCAGAATGATATTGAGTCTTCTAACGAACAAAAAAGAATCTTCCATACTTACAGCGCAATTTTGAAGAATGGCCAAGATCTCTGGTCTCTTTCCAGCCACACGTGAAACCAAGCCAATATACCAGAGACCATAAAAAAGAATGTGGAAAACAATAAGAAACACAATGGATGAGATATATATTGTCAAAAACAAAGATAGATTCATCCTCATATCCACCCCCATTGACTGAAAACTAGGAAGATGGTACACTGCAGCCACTAAAATCCAGGCTATGTACCTGCAAAGTGGACACCATATCATTTCTAATCTTTTTCAAAAACATTCATAGTAACATACATACATCTGCTAAATAAAGTTACCATCGACTGAAATTTGAATAACTCGGCTTGATAGTCTTGCCTACAAATGGTGATGAAAAGAAATAAAAGAAGCCAAACAAGCAGCCATACATAGACCACCATTTAACATTGTTGTCTAATTTTTCTACAAGAGTATGTATGTTGTCGGATGAGATGAAAAAAAGGCAACCCACTGCAACAGCAATTACAGCATGGCGAGAATGCTCATGAGGGTAAGGATAAGTGTGGGTAAATATAGTTCTGACCCTCTCCATTTTGAGTGTATCAAGAAGACCCGCAGGCTGCTTATCAGAGCCCATTTCCAATCTTTTAAAAATGTCCAAAGAATCAAAACTCTTGCAATGAATCCTACTTTAGTAATTCCAGAATACCATATAGATCAGCGACAGAAGAATCCTGCAGAAGATGAATATAATAATAATCTCAGTATTTCTGACAAAAGGGTTATAGATATTTGATCTTTAGTCAAGTATATATGTGGCATAAGAATTCAACGAAAAGAAGGAAAAGAAGAAAAACAAGAACTATAACAGTAACTGTTCAAACTAGGAAGTACAGAACCTCGAACACGATATCGATACTGACACAGTGACACCGATAATAATTTGAAAAAATGAATAAATAAAACGTAATCAGTCAGTTTCAGACACCGACACAGACACGCCTTTTTTAAGAGGTCCATGCTACTGAGATTCAAAGCTACTATCAAAGTAAATCATTTGCCGGTTCAACAGAAATTCAACCGCAAATTGTCCTTTTCATGTTCTACACATAATCAAATCCTCTTCCAAGATTATTAGGCAATGATTGAATTTCATAATTATTGAATTCCACTAAACTTCCATATGTAGACATTTTCACATCAAGTTTATGGTCATGATTAAAGGATGTCAACATCATCACAGTACAACAACACAAAAGAGACAAAATAATGATCATGATGAAAAGAATGAAGTTGTTAAAAAAAAAAAATATAACTAAGTAAAGAAAAAAAAAACAAGAAGAAATTAAGGTTCAATTATATAGCAGTTAAGAGAAGTTTAAAATCAATAAAATTAGGGAAACAGAACAAAAGCCCTAATTTATAATTCCTCTTATATAATAATAATTATTATGAATTTTCATTTTTTTTATTACCTTACAATGTTGTAGCTAGGCTAAAAAGTAACGAGAAATTGAAAAAACAGAATCTCAGAAACAAAAAAAAAAAAAAAAAAAAACAAGACATGAAGCAAAAACAACCGAAAAATAGATAAGAAAAACAAGAAGAGCAACGAAAGAAAAGAACATGTTGCAAAAAGAATGAGAGAGAGACCTTGTGTTGCGTTGCGTTGTATTTGGATTGTATCGATGAGAGAAAGCGTGCGATGAAATTGAAATTGAAAATGAAAATTGAAAGAGAAAAGTTATGAAGTGAATGTTATTTTGACAAGAGTATTATTTGCGTTGGAATCTGAGAATATCTGTGAGGAACATAAGTACATAACATAATAACCAATGGCATATTCTTTCCTCTTTTCTGAATTCCTAAAACCCAGTTTCTTTTCTTTTTCTTTTTCTTTTTCTTTTTAAATTAATTCCTGTTTTTTGGATTTTATTTGTAAAAATAATAATTCGACGGTATGACTTGGCTTCATTGCCAATATATTTTTAATATATAAATATATACTTCATTTAAACTAGTCAAAGGTGTAGTACGTTTTTATTTTTAAAATATAAATAAAAAATAAAACTGTTTTACTAAATAATTAAATATTTTTAAAAAAAACATATTTATAAAATAAAAAATAATATATATTTAAATTATTCATATTTTTTTTTTTAAATTAATATATGTCAAAACAAAAGTAATTCATTAATAAAGATCAAGACATTTTAGCTAAAAATCAAGGTATATGTTGATCCTATTACAAAAACTAATCTTCTAAAATAAATAGGACAACATTTCAGTGACCTTTAGCAATATAGGCAATCAACGCAGCAGCCAAAATTGTAGTAGCAGAAGATATCCAAGTCCATAAATACTTACCTTTATGTGCATCTGACACAAACTTCTACAATGATACAACTTGTTGCAGAAACGTAACTGAAATGTTGCTGCAGTAAATCAAGCATCAGAGAACAACATAAATTGGTCATTCTCAAAATAAAATAATTAACAAACATAAAGAGGACAAGCATATACGTCACGTTTATGTTTGATGCAAGTGACTCTTCAATTGTGACTTCTTCAATTTATAACACATGAGCTGAAGCCATAAATTAAATCAAGTGTTATCTGTAATAGTGTGAAGTAAAATTAAAATATTAGAAATTACATGTGAAATATGCTGCTAGTTAAGTTCAAACACTAACTAAAAATCCCAAACAAATTCAACTCAACTCACCAAAAAACTTGTAACAGAAACATAATCAAAACTTAATCATTCACTAAACAAACTACAACAATCAATTAACAAAACCGCACACCACTTTTACAATTTCATTTTCTTCATTCAAGTCAATTACATAACTCCAACATCAAAAATCACAATCAATCAATGTAAGAAACTGAAACTCATTGAGACATTTTAACAAACACCTTGTTTGCAAAATCATATCACAAACTGAAACTCATTGTGACATTTCAACAAACACCTTATTTGCAAAATCATATCACAAACCGAAACTCATTGTGACATTTCAGCAAACACCTTGTTTGCAAAATCAAAAGAATGTACAAAAACCTCATTGTAAAAGCAAACAGAAAAGTAACAGCAAACATAAATTCGCATTTTAGGGTTTGAGAATAAACCTGTTAAGATACCAAGGTGAGGTGGTGGTGGTGGTTTGCTTTGGTGACCACATGAACGTGAGCTGAGAGAGATGCCAAGGTGCAGGGGTGGTAGATTGGTGGTTGATACGTGACGCAAAGATGGATGCCAAAGCGCCCTTTTTTCTCCAATATTAGGCATGAGTTATGGAAACTTGTGGAACAACTGCAAATAATAGAAGAAGAAAAGATAGAAAAAATAGAAATTAAGGAAGAAAATGAAGAAGTAATATTAAATTATATATTCTTCAGAAATAGGTATATAACGGTTTCTCTGCATCGCTTACCAACCTCTCGAGAAGTGGCCGGAGAATTGCAGTTGGCCGGAGAAGTGGAGCGCCGTTGACCGTCGTAAAAGCTCTGGTTTAGAGTTTTTTCGTGAAGAAAATCTGACTGAGAATAGAAAAGTGATACGAATTGTGTTTTGATATTTATTATAAAACTACCTACGAAAGCGCTTTTAAAAGCGCTTTCTAAAGATCATCTATAACAGCGCTTTTACATCAAAAAACACTTTCGTAGCTTATCCTATAGCAGCGCTTTTAAAAGCGTTTTCTAAAGGCCAGCTTTAGCAGCGCTTTGGAAAAGCGCTTTCTAAGGCTGACCTTTAGCAGCGCTTTTGAAAAGCGCTTTCTTAAGGTACCCTCTGAAAGGTCAGCTTTAGCAGCGCTTCCCAAAAAGCGCTTTCTTTTATGTGCTGCTAAAATTTATTTTTTGCGTAGTGACTCGTGCATTCACACAGATTTTACCCTGGTTACTTGTGCGTTTACACGGTTTTAGTGTGCAACTCGTGCGTTCACACGGTAGTAATGTGTTACTTGTGCGTTTACACGATACTTGTCTGTTACTCGTGCGTTCACACAATACTGGTGTATTATTCGCGCGTTCACATGAGTACTGGTGTGTGACGCGAAATTGTTACTTGTGCACTCGCATGGATACTATTGTGGACTGCGGATTTGTCACCATTTTAGTTTTGAAAGTCAAATAAAATTAAAAATATTTAAATTTAATTGTAAAATAGGAAAATAAAAATATAGTCAAAATAAATATATAAGTTAATTAAATCAATCATTGTTAAAAAAAAATATTAAACACTCATTTAAAAAATGTATAAAATAGATAAAAATAAAATATATTTTTCAATATTGATTAACCGTACAGTCAAACGATACATGTACGTGCGAGTATTGGAAAAAAAAAGTAAAAAAATAGTCTGCAACATAATTGTATAAATGGGACTATATTATTTGCAAAAAAGACAAAAATCTTAGTGCTCTTGGATGTGTTTCGAGACACTATCTAAAGTGAAGTGAAACTCTCAAACAAATACACAATGAGCTACCCACGTTTAAAAAGTGAGGACTCGATCAATATATAAAGATATGTTTGTATTACAATTACAACGTCCATACAGATAGCAAACGCTCTCCCTTTGTGTACATATACACAATAATCAAGTCATGCATATTTAGTCACTCAAAAATACAAAAACTTAAATATAAATATTCAATTTAAATTACAGCTTGAGTTCATGTCCGAGAATAATAGTTTCACAAAATACAAAAAAAGTAAACTATGGCTCTCGCAATTTGTCCTTCAAATAATGCAGAACAACTTTAGTTCCTTTATCCAAGACATGCCTTTGAATGCTGAAACAAACAAAAAAATATTATGATAATTTTATTAACCAAACTTTCCAGAAGAGCACTTATATTAGATATGCATTATAAGAAAGCTTTAGTTCGTTTATCCAAGACTTAAAAAAATATTGCAGAACATTTTTAGTTCCTTTATTCAAGGCTTAAAAAAATATCGTAAGTTTTATTTTTCTAAAGAGCAATTATATTAGATATGCAACAACCTTTTCACACTTGAGAACCCTAACTATTGTCGCAAAAAGTTATGCATTATGAGAAAGCTCATAGAAAAGTCGGGCAGGAACATGATACTTTCATTATATGTCTCACATTCTTGGTTTATAGAAAAGTTCTTATATGGTAGATTAGTAGAATACATGTGACAAAAAATTAGTAGAATAAATTGAAAATGACACAAATTAAATGTCGTTGCAATATTAAAAATATGAATTAAAAAAATATGATTTTAAAATTAATAATATAAAATGTTTCATCGCGAAACTGAAATTGATGGAAAAGTGTGGGTTCAGAGTTGTTGTAGTAGTCTTGAATTTTTGATGTAATGAAGAGGGGACTAACATATTAGGTTAGCATTTCAACGCCTAAATATGATAATGAAAAATAATATTTGAATGGAGAGGATTTGGACAATTGTCAATGTCATCGCGAGAAAGATTGTCTGCTCAGTAGAGAAAGGAATCCACTTGTTTTGCAACGAATGTTTTATTGCTCCTTTATTTGGCCTTAACTCCCAGGATATTGTGGACGACCTGAGATAGATGCCCCAAGCCCTTGCCTTTGCTCAGTAGAGAATTTGTAATATGTTTTCTCGCTCGGCCATGAAATT